CACACACACACAGAGAGAGATAAATTATCTGGGGTATATATATATACCAGCAACGATCTAGTTGGTGGTATTACAGTACGTACGTACGTACACAAACTCTAAATAACAGGCACCACAACTGTCCTTCATCCGAACACGTAGCTGTTCTCGAGAACTTTGAAAACAGTCGGCTCCTCCTCCATCACCTTCACCAGCTCCGGCGCTGCATGCACGTACACCACCCATTCCCCGTCGTCGCGCGCACTCGGCATCGGCATCACGTATGCCGCGCCGGCGGGCCACGGGAAGTGGTACGAAGCGAACGCCGGCAGGCCCGTCCCAAAGTTGATCTCCCGGACCGGAAAACCCATGCCCGACGACACGATGCACGCCGTCGCCTTGGTGCCGCCGGTGCCGCCCAGGTACGCCCTGGCCGCGGCCGGTTTGGGCCGCAGCGCCTCCACCCAGTCGATCAAGCCCCGGAAGTGCTCGTCCGTCGCGGCCTCACGCACCCACCGGTGCACGTCGTCCGCCACGTCGGCGAGCGCCATGCGACGACGAAGGTCGTCGATGCTGTTGACACCGTAAGTTATGGTCAGCACGTTACCGAAGTAGGCCTTCATGGCGCCGTCCGGTGACATGCGGGCGCGCCCGTCCACGACCATGCCCATGCAGCACAGACGCTGATGTGCTGAGCCCGACATAGAGCAGAGTTGCCACAGGTGAGCCGTGAATGCCTCAAGCTTCGTGCGTCCTGGCCCGGCCGTGACCTGCAGCGCCGCGACGTCGGCAGCGGCTATACGGTAGATGCGGTTGACAGCGGTGGCGGCAACGGTGGCCGGAGGGGGTGGCGACGCTGAGCTAAGAGGGGAGAAAAGGCGGTCGATCAGGGCGTTGGTGGCATACGTACGCGGCGATGGGTCGCGCGGGGACACTAGGGAGCGGCGGAAGGTCGGTGCCGGTGGTACGGAGCCACCACGGGACGTGGCCGCCCATGCGACGAGGAACATGTTGAAGGAGTAGGCGTCGCAGACCCGGTGGTCGAAAGTGCAGCCGACGACGGCGCCGCCGCACTTAAACTTTGTGACCTGCAGGTGCGTGCATATGTAGCACGCAACGGAATTAGTAAAAGTTATGGGGATATATAACGTGTCTAGATAACAAAAGACCGTAAAACGGCGGTAATGATCCATACGTTTAGCATTTTCGACAAAAGAACATCATATATATTATGGCTGGAAAAAGAATCTTTAGAGCATCTTATTATCTTGTCTATAATTTCTCATATGAGATCATCTTTTTTTTGGATTTATATTGGATTTTCATATGAGAGCATCTTATTATCTTGTCCATATACTAGTAGTGTACTCCTATAATACAGAAGGCTGCCACGGTGGTGCCTTGGGCCTAACGCGTGAATGACCTGCTCCACGTGGGGCTTATCTTCAGCTGTTTTTCACGTGGACCTGTGCATTACTTTTTTCTGGAGCTAATGATTCTACAATGATGATCATAGTACTACCTGAACAGATATGACGCCGGCCTTCTTGGAGGGAACAAGCTTGTCGACGCCCTCGTCCACAATGCCCAGCCGAAGCTCCCGCAGCTCGGTGTCGCCGGCGCTAGCCTCGGTGAAGTCGACGCCGCGGCAGTTGCACAGCAGCTCCGGCTCGCCGTCACCGTTGGCCACAACCTCTCCCGCGAGCGGGTAGTACGCCACCAGCACCTTGGCGAGCGCCTCCTTGAGGGCGGCCGCGGTGGGCGCCGGGTGGAGGTAGCAGAAGAAGACGCCGACGTCGATGGGCGGCAGGAGGAGGTCCAGGTTAGACAGCGGCAGACGGTGCTGCTGCAGCGGCAGCGCCGGCTCCACCGTCGTCGCAGACATGATGGTCACCTCGCCGCCGTGCGCTTCGGTGGTTTCCTTCACCATGGTGTGCGCCGTACGTGTGCGTTCGTGTTGTAGGTATCACGAGAGATGAGTGCATGTCTGAAGTCGAGACGAGATGTGGTGCTGCTATTTAAAGGGAAGGGGTTAGGTAAACTACGTCAGAGCACGTGTACTGCACGCGTAATGCGATGTTAATGAGTTAATCACCATTCATAGTTCCTGTTCGGGAAAATCAATCCTTTCTATGAGTTAACTACTCCATGTAATCTACACTGGCCTACCATTTTCAGCAATGTGAGTTTGGTGGCATTTGTCTGGTTTAGTGGTTCGGGTGGCGTTACCCTTTTGTTTTAGATGAGAAATGACTGCTTAAGTTCACTGTCTAGCTACTAAAAACTACCAAGATGAAGATAACATACTGATGAGCTTTTGTTTGCATATATAAAAGAAAGTAACACATATACTTGCTAAGATATTATTTCTTTGAGGATGGTTGGTTTGGGACATACGAGGATAATGTTAGTATATATTGGCCCATTGCTATAGGATTTCTTATCCTAGCTTATCTTTACGATACCCTAAAGCCGTGTACTCTATATGAACTGCCAGTGTGGCTCCACACAACACAATGATATGTGGAAACACTAGCTAGGGAGCATACATGTGGACAATGGTCTATTTTGATTTACGGTGTCTAAGAGCATCTCTAGCAGATCTCATAAAACCGGTTAACTTCTAGAAAAATTCGGTTTCAGGTTGAGGAGTTAAAACGGACCGAGCCGATCCATTATGCGCTTTAACTCCTCAAAAGATTTACTCCTCGCGTCAGCAGCCACTTATATGCACTCGATCGTAGCTCGTTCTCAAGATAATATTTTGCTTCCCCCATGCCCTTCACTCTGCCCAGCTCGGCTGCAGATCAGGAGTTGCAGCCGACATTTCTAAGCACGCAGCCGCCCCGAGCACACACCGATGAGCCCCGCCCTTCTGGCACCGCCGAAGAAGAAGTACCATGGCGTGCGGCAATGATCATGGGGGACGTGGGTTTCTGAGATAATAGATTCGGACAGGGGCCGTCGGTACTGGATCGGCTCCTTCCAGTCGGCAAAGTAGGCGGCGACCGGTGAGAGCCTACGACCTGCAGGCGGTCCTCCTCCACGGTAGCCGGGCGAAGATAAACTTCCCCCTCGGAGCAATAGTTCCATAGTTCGTCGCCATCGACCCCCGAGTAGTCTTCCGCCGCGATGTGCGGGAGAATCGAGAGGCCTTGGGGCGGATCGACGAGGCGTACATGGCCGAGCTCCCTCGGAATCATCCAGAGCTCGTCGTTGAGGAGCTTAGGGTCCTCGAGCTGTACAAGAAGGGTGCCGAGGAGGCCAGGCCGTCTAGTGGGAAGGTCACCGACCTTTGCTCCAGCGACTCCAGTTCCGGGTCCGGCGATGGCATGGATTGGGAGACGCTTGCGAAGGAATAAGACCATATTTTTTTAGTTTTTGTCTCACTCAAATGACTAGTTCAAATTTGTGTTATGCAATGTAGTTTAAATCAAATTTTGCTACCTATGTTTAAATTTGTGTGGAAAAAACTTTAGACAGTTAAATTTAGGAGTTCGGTTAGGAACCACTTTTTTTTCTCCCGCAAAAAATGGAACCACTTTTTTTAACTCCTCAAATTTGAAGAGTTTAAGTTTGAGGAGGCATATTAAGGGGCTAAATTATAAAGTTTCCGCTATAGATGTTCTAAGATATCTGCCCTGGCACTGATGTGCTCTTCACACATCAAAGACACACGCCTGCACATGGGGTAAAAAAAAAACCGTGTCGATGTGGTATTTAACCTGTGTGTAGTTTTTCGAGATGGTCTTACACGCATGAGCGATTATTTGGTCAAACGACCAAGTATTTGCACCAAACTGACTTTGCTAACCAGTGATCACTACGTACGGGGACAATACCAAGAGAGGGAGTTGCTCTGGTGGATAAGAATATTCAGCGACGATGTCAAAGCCTAGTTTAGGAATCAAGCTACGCTACTTGAGGGATCCGGTCGAACACCGTTCGGGTGCCCCTGCGATTAGTTTAGTGTGCGTTTACCTTTTCAGCGAAAAGGTGAGAACGTAAAAAGTCAAATTAGTTCCCACGGGACATGATTGTTAATTGGTGTATGCAGGAAGGGAAGGCGGCGTGGTAAAAGCGACGGCGATTTTCAAGGTGATTCACGAAAGGGAGACGAGAGAGTGAGCAAAGCATGACAGAAACCAAAACGGTCGTGGTCTGCCGAAGAAACCCTAGATCCACTACGGTCCCAATGTACGGGCTGCTGCAGCCCACCGACGGTTTCTCCCTCGCCGATGTAAAGCTCGATCGGCAGGGTCCCTTGCCTAGGTTCTTTCCCTCTCGCAGCAACCGGGAGAGAGAGACCAGAGTCCCTCGGTCGATCGGGTGTTCTCCACTCGATGGGAGAAAGACTTGATCGAGCAGGTTAGTTGGCCTAGCACTATCTACAACACACCCGAAGTCCGTATCATGGCGCTGTTTACCACGCAGATCGGCCGCCTCCACTCCATCTCAGTTCGGGCCTTGGATGCGGATGGCCGAGCCGAAGCGGCCGGCCAACCACTCGATATCGGACACTTGATTCGCCACTTGTCACATTGGCAAGCAGCAAGACGTACGGGACGTAGCAATCGATCATGCACTCGGCAATGGCGACTCCGGCTTGTTGGTGCATACTATATTCCTTCTTGGCCGGCCATCATTGCTGTATACCACCTGAGTAACGCACAGCTCGTCTCGTCGGACGGAACAGAACACCGATCGACGACGTGTGGAACGTATCGTGCATTGACGGGAACTCGACGGGGCGGACCCTCAGAGAACTAAAGCGCTGCCTGCTTGTTTGCTACGTACTCCGTGCCTAGATTCTCAGATATGGCATAGTAAAATTCGCGCCTGCCTCGCGCGCGCGCATGCACAAAACAGAATGGTGATCGAGATCGATCGATTGATCGAGTTGGTGGCACAGCGAGCGAGAGCTAGGGTTTGCCTCTCCGGGCGTAGGAAACTGGGATCAAGTACGGGTGGTTCCGGAGACCCTTTTGCTTCACCTGGACACTAACAATTGGTAAGAAAAGAGATCTCCTCCACCCGCATGCATATGCATCAGCGTCATCCATCGACAGGGACAGGCAACTAGACCTTGAGTAGACAGCTCCCGTCTCCGTCTTCCCAGCTTCCATTCGCCCCAGCTAGCGAGACAAATCGATGGGATATATGTGCGCTCGATCGATCGGATCGTGGAGGCGCACACGCTCAACCGTTCCATTGACCGGAAGCACACACGGCGGCGTCAATGCAGTCATTACAGTTAGCATTGCTGATGAGCTTGTGACTGATTTGTGACCGATTTGACTGTGTCTGTCACCTCGTGGCCCTTTAGATGGACTGGGAAAGTTTTACCGGATCGTTGCCGTGTTTGAACCTTTCAAGACCTGCGATGTGATGTCGCGCGAATTACACTGTCCAGATAGATTGGGCTCCTGATTTGATTGCGAGGAAGACCTTATTTACTGCCTCTTGGTGCACTGTCTCTGTTTGGTGTGCATGCATTGACCCTGTGGCACCTCTTTCTTCAGAGTAGTAACATGTGAGATGTGACGCTAGCTTGGTCACTAGCTATGCTAACACAAATTAAGCGCACAGAGAAAAAAAAATTCTCTTTAGTCCGCTCGTGGCAAACCATGTACAGAACCCAGCTACATAGCTCCCACAGCAACGTGACGGTACCTACTGGACATCCATCGAAATGTAGGAGTTCTGTCCCCGTCACTCTACTAGCTAGCGGAGTGGCTAGGCAGACATTCTACCTAGCGGTCATCGGGTACAACCTGAGTGGGGATCATCCACTACCATGTCAGGTCATGCACGCAAGGCTTGCGCAGCACATCGATCCGCGCTGCAAGACGCACACGCTGTTATTTAGGTGCACCAACACTACCCCATGCGCATCCAACGGCTTCAGCTAGCCAGGAAACAGCTGAATGCAACCGGGTTTCGTCATCAGCTGGCCAGGATGACAACATGTGCACGTATATATATACCCAATGCCTGCAATTTGCAGCGCACCCAAAATCTGTTTTTCCAGAGCTTTTGGTGAGACTTGAGAGAGTTTTCCCAACGACTTCATTAGGTGTCCCTCTACGTATAAGTCGAATGCTCTTACATTTATGTCGACCATGCTAGTTATCTGATTTAATCTTCATACCCCTACTTTAGTGTTACCACGCAATAACCATATACATCCGAGATAACCGGATGTTCAACAAGTTTTCCGAATTCAACAATACTAAATTAGAGCCGGCATACGTTGTACCACACATGTTGTCCTTGAGCTCCATCCAACAACGTGAATGGCCTGCCCTCGGGTATTCACGTATAGAGCAACATTAAATGAATGAACCAGCTTATAGAGCAACACGAAGCAAAACTTACGATCTCCATGGTTGGCGAGCCCGATGGCCACATTGTCTTCACTCATGCAACCGCACCGCAAAACTTCATAACGGAATTGCAGATAGCGTGCCATCAATGCAATATCAACTTCACATTGCGTTGCTGGATGACGTGCATGTCGTAGGATGCGGGGGTTTTTTTTTTGCGCATGAAACGAAGCATGCACGCGCTACCAAAAGATCGACTACCTTGAGTTTCTGCCTACAAAGTCCGCATATACGGCCAACTACGCGTCGCACAACAACTCATCCTCGATCACCAAGTACCCCGTCATCATGCTTTACTCTATAAAGTAATAAGAAGTTCAACAAAAAAAGCTCAATGACATTTGACCGAACACTTGTCGGGTGTACTTGGTTATGGAGGGTACCCGGGTGGATAGCGGAGGAGGGCAGGTGTGTTGGTGGGGGCTGCGGACGTCCTACGATGCAAGGTGGTGGCCGAAAAGGTACTTCAGCGGTGTCGAACAAGGAGGGAGCGGATGCAAAGCAAGGGGAAGAAGGGGCAAAGTGGAAGAAAAGTGGACCGATAGGGGGATTTGACTAGGTCTAGGGTGTGGGAGTCCTACGTGGTGGCAGTCTTGACTTCTGCAAAGCCCCCTGCTTCTTATTTGCGGAAAAATGGACATCTGGCCCATTTGCTTATCGATGGGTATCATATTGGATGACAAAATGAATCCGGACAGCTCAGTCCGGACAGATACAGACGGTTTAAGACTTAGAAGAGTATCTCTAGCAGACACCAGACACCATAAATTAATTCCCAAAAACCACTTGTTGGGAGCCTCTAAAAATATTTCGGGGGTGATAAAAAAAGATTTCGGGGAATGGGAGGCTCAGAGGCTGTCAACTAGCAGATCCTCTGAATAACTCCGGGGAATGGAATAGTTGCAACCGTTGCCATTTGTGGCCACAAGCGAGGCCAATTCCAAAGCGGCCCATCTAGAAGCCTAGTCCGTGATAAACCATCAGCGATACTGTCGTCGCCGGCCTGGCCAAATCCCTGCGCCTCTCACGCGCGTCGCCGCCGCCCGCCGCCATCGCCGCCAGTTCCCGTTCTACTTCATCCCCTGCCGTCTCCACACCGTCCGTGACCTCGGACATTGGTTCTTGTGGTACGAGCCTCTGGTCATCCATTGATTGTTTGATCCCAAATTAACCTTGCAAATTATGGTCTGACGATACTCACCATCTAGATCCTCCTGTCTGATCTCTAGTGTGGTTTATGTGATGGGTGGAGCAATCTCGCAGGTTATTGGCCAATGGTAGGCTGGCGGGCGGCGGGCGCTCGCGCCGTTCTTCGCCGACTCGGCGCGGCAGCCACGGAGAAGCAGGGTGGCCGTGCGTTGGCGGTCAGCTATAGCAGCAGCTGCCGCAGCAGTAGCGCGAGTGCTCCATTTGGATTGGGTGTGTGCCTGTTTGTCCATAGTCTCCATTTCGCTACTGTTGGCTGTATCTGTATGCCCGCGTATCATGATCTTAAATTCTGAATGCTCATCTGAAGTACAGACGAGCAGCCGTGTAATTGCTTGTGTTTTTTTTTTTGAATGGAGAATTAATATAACAACATAGTCTCAGTTATTATTTGCGCCTTATTTTAGTTAAATTCAGAACACACACACATGTGCCCGTGTGTCACTATGATCCTTGTATCTTTGGTTGTATCCATTTTTGACGAGCTCCGATTCAGTATGATACATTGTGCCGTACTAATATAGTCTTCGCTCCTCAGGAGAGTTCGTAACTTCCGTTTTTTTTCAGTAAGGAGCGCAGTGAGTGTGTTCAACTCTTGATGATGATGACTTTCTAATGGGTGTGATCGATAACCATGTAGGCCAGTGCGCAAGTTTGTTGAGAGCACGCACTTCTACCTCCCGGGGAATTCCAACGAACTTCTATCAGCTGCTCCACAATGCTGTAATGACCTTTTCGTGCTATGTTTCAGTTTCTTATCCAACCATGTTTTTGCAATGCTACTGGTTCATTTTTTGATAATAACTAAGTGTGCGTTTGCAACTGACTGACATCGAGCGGGCTCTTAAAAGCAGTTTCATAAGTCAGTATGCTGAACATCATATTGACACCATTCTCATCACATTTATGCCTTCATGCATCATAGTGACATGCCTCTTTGTGTTTACATTGTCAATTGGTGTTTCATTGTAGGGAATATCGACCACTAGGAACCTTCTTGCTGCAGATAATTCTATGGTTCCCATTTCTTCTCCGTTGACAACTCCACTAGGGGATGCAGAAGAGACCAACAAAAAGGGTGCAGTAGTTAAGCGGCTGAAAGTCCAAGCTATCAAGAAGGATATCAAGCAGGTAAGCCGTAAGCAAGAGCTCAGTAGTAGTTGTATTTCTCCAAGGCTCCAGATATCCTAAAATGTTTGATCAAGGACATGTCTTCAGTTCTGTGACAGCCATTTATAGTATGCATTTTCCTGAAAACTTCCCTTCACTGTGTTGTTTTGTCAAAATGCATGTAGTTGGTGAAAGCGTTCACATGCTTGGTACGTCGCAAACAACAAATCAGTATGCAGAATGTCATGCATTCAGCTGCTTGAGGATCATCATCTGCAATTGTTACATTTGTGTTCCTGAGATTTGCAATGGTTACGTGTCAAACATACTGTTAGTGACAAGGAAAGTGGAAACCTTTCAATGTATACATGTCTGTTTTTAATTAAAACTAACTTGTTTCTTAACATCAATTTGAAAATGTGTTTGTAGCTACTCCCTCCGTCCGGAAATACTTGTCGTAGAAATTGATACAAATTGATGTATCTAGAACTAAAATACATCTAGACACATCCATTTCCCGGACAAGTATTTCCGGACGGAGGGAGTATTATTCATTGGTTAGTTTATGTATTGGTTGAAAACCATTTGCTTATCTCACACCACTGAAGTAATGAGCGTGTAGAGAGATCAAGGCAGCCTAACAGACTTCCGGAACTGTTGTACTGCTAATAATCTTTTACTAGTACCATCATGAGATATTCAGTCTCTAATTAGTCTGAATCTTCCTGGCTGTTTTAGAGCCCCAAGAAGGTGAATCTGGTAGCCAAGCTGGTTCGAGGAATGCGTGTTGAAGATGCCCTTTTGCAGCTGCAAGTGACAGTTAAAAGGGCGGCAAAAACTCTGTACCAGGTTTGCTAATTCGGTCAATCTTACCTACTCAAGTACTCCCTCTGTTTCAAATTACTCGTCGTAGAAATGGATGTATCTACAACTAAAATACATCTAGATACATCCATTTCTGTGACGAGTAATTCGGAACAGAGGGAGTAACTCTGCAGCTTCCGGTGATAGGCCAAGAGTCTCTGTCTATATTTTACATGAGAACTTCTTCCTACCAATCTGTCTAGGTGATCCATTCCGCTCGTGCCAACGCAGCTCACAACCACGGATTTGGATTCTGATAAACTTATTGTGGGCAAGTTTGCAACCAAGCACACACATTTACACCTGAATTCTGCAATAAATTCAACCTCATAGCGTTCATCTCCCTTGTTCCTCAACATTGCAGAGGAGGCTTTTGTGGGGAAAGGACTTTACCTTAAGAGGTTGTCTTACCATGCCAAAGGGAGGTGCGGCGTCAGGGAGAGACCTAGGTGCAGACTGACGGTGGTGGTTAGAGAAGCAACGGCCGAGGAAGAAGCGAAGATCGCTAAACTGAGAGTTAGCAACTACAAAAAGCTAACCCGGAAGGAGAAGCAGCTCATGCCGCACCGGCTCATTGAGGTCAGTCCCAGGTGGGCTCGGAAAAGGAAGGAGGAGGAGGCAGACGCCACAGTGTAGGATGAGTTCCTGTTTGCGGGATCTGTCTTTCTTCACTGGCGTGCACCGCGAGAGTTTTGAAGAACAACCGAGGATATTTCATCTGTTGAGATTTAATTACTGAAGAACGACCGTGGCTCCCACGAGAAAGAATTCATGCTCTCATTTGTCTGACCAGTTTTTGTTCTTTGTCCTGTTTGTGTCGTCTGTATGAAATCTTTCAAGTCATTTAGCCCTGTGACCGTGTTGTGGCACCGCTGGCGAATTGTAGGTAACAATGAATAAATTTACGTCTGATGTGTTGTTCGTTTAATAGATGCCGACCATCTGCATTTTATCATCTTCGAAGTTGATACTACCTATCTTTTTACTTGTTTGATATTGGCACTTGCATGTGGTGATATTTACTGGTTTATTAGAGCAGACCAAACTGCAGCTTTCAGATTCTGATCAATTTGGTTCATTCATTTTCTCCAGACACAACAACACTGATAGTCTGATACATCCATCATGCACATACACATCACCCTTGACACACGCTGTTAGCCCCAGTTACATCTACAGAACGGCACATTACAAGTGATAGTACTATAGCCACGTACTGTGCTGTACATAATGACCAGCGGAACTCGCAAAGCAGGCATCTGGATCGCACACGGGGAAGACATCCATACCGCCGGCCGCCGGCGCATCCCGTCACCCGAATATGTCGCTGCTCACCGGGGCTCTGAACACCGTCGGCTCCTCCTCCATCACCTTCACCACCTCCGGCGCCGCGTGGACGTACACCACCCAGTCCCCGCCCCCGCGCGCGCTCGGCATCGGCATCACGTACCCGGCGCCGCCGGGCCACGGGAAGTGGTACGACGCGAACGCCGGACGGCCCCACCCGAAGTCCACCTCGCCGAACGGGAGCCTCAGTCCCGACGACACCACGCACGAGGCCGTCTCCCCCTCGCCGCCGTCGTCGTCGCCGCCGCCTATGTAAGCCCTCGCCACCGTGGGCTCGGGTCGCTGCGCCTCCACCCAGTCGACCAGCCCCTGGAAATGCTCGCCCGTCGCCGCCTCCGCCACCCATCGGTGCACGTCCTCCGCCACGTCCGCGAGCGCCATGTCGCGCAGGTCGGCGGCGCCGAACGCGCCGTAGGGGATGGTCAGCACGTTGCCGAAGTAGGGCCTCATGGCGCCGTCGGGGCACAAGCGGCCGCGCCCGTCGACAACGACGCCCATGCAGCACGAGTCCTGCCGCGGCGTCGCCGCCCTGGAGTAGAGCTGCCACAGGTGGGCCGTGAACGCCTCCAGCTTCGTGCGCCCGGGTCCCGCCGAGGCCTGCAGCGCGGCGACATCGGCGGCGGCCACGTGGTAGATGCGGTTGAAAGCTGTGGGTGGTGCCGCTGTGGCTGGCGGCGGTGGCACGAGGCTGACGGGGAGGAAGAGGCGGTCGGCGAGGGTGCCGGCGGTGCACGACGGAGGCGGGCTGCTCGGCGCGAGGAATGAACGGTTGAAGGACGGGGGCAGCGGGATGGACGTGCCCCGGGCCGCGGCGGCCCACGCGACGAGGAACATGTTGAAGGAGTAGGCGTCGCAGACACGGTGGTCGAACGTGCAGCCGACGACGGCGCCGCCGCACTTAAACTTGGTCACCTGCATGCATGAGTAGCGCCTTGTTGACTTGTTGTGAACTTTACAAAATTTCTACTATTAACTCTACTACTCTTAAATCTTAACCACTACCAATGCCTATGCCCATAACCACAATATTTTTGAGAATCACAAGGATTCGAGTAACAACTTAAGTTGGCTTGTTGGAAGCACATTTTTCGATTTGTCATAAAAAATTACATCTCTTATTACATATTTATTCGGAAATTCGGTAGTACTAGCAGTCAAAGCTGCATATTAACAAGCAGTAAATATAAGTAACTAATCAATTATGAAGGAAAATATGAATAGGTACCTAATTGAGCTGTACATTTTGTTCAAGTGTGTGTATGTTCATGTTAGTGTACGCTCGGATCTAACCATGACGCAAGACCACTAAAAATATGCAGTGTCACAGTGACAAGACAGAATTGTTTCAAAAAAAACAGTGACAAGACAGAAATTAATAATCGCTGTCATGCGGGTTTAGGTAGTACTCACAAGATGCAGTTGGAGGTGGTGAGTTCGACAGGATGGAAGCAGTTGACCAGCACATGGATTTAATTGAACACTAAAGTACTCTGGGTAATAGCTCCACGTGGCGAGGTGATGCTGACGCCAGTACGTACGAACGCTAGACGTACGTACACCAACAAGGCAACAAACACGATGCATGAAGCATGTACGTATGGCAGTGATCCGAACCTGCACGCTCATGACCCCGGACTTCTTCTTGGGCACCAGCCCCTCGACGCTCTCGTCCGGCAGGCCGAGCCGCAGCTCCCGCAGCTCGACGCCGTCCGCGGCCGCCTCGGCGAAGTCGACGCCGCGGCCGCTGCACAGCAGCTCCGGCTCCCCCGCGGCGTTGGCCACGACCTCGCCGGCGAGCGGGTAGTACGCCACCAGCACCTTGGCCAGCGCCGCCTTCAGGGTCGGCGCGGGGTGGCTACCTGTACCAGCTGCGGCGTAGTCGTCGCCGGCGGCGTAGCAGAAGAAGACGCTGACGTCGATGGGGGGCAGGATGAGGTCGAGGTTGGAGAGCGGCAGGCGGTGCTCCTGCAGCGGCAGCGCCGGCACCACGGTGGACGTGAACGTCACGGCCACCTCGTCGCCGCCGTGGCATTTGGCGGTGGCCTCACTCTCATCGTAGTGCACCATGATGCGAGCGCGTACGTGGTTACTTGTGTGAGCTGCCGAGGAGGGAGCTGTGTGCTTCCTGTGTGTGATCGATGGGGTGAACCGGCGGGCGGTTATTTATAGGAGGCTAAGGTGCATAAAGAATTATGGAGTGCCAATTAAAGAGACGCTCCATTACTGCAGCTCCCTGCATGACACACATGTCAGACCTAATGTTTAGTTTAAGAAAAACCACGTCGTGTTCAACGGGAGAAATCAGACATTTTGAGCAAAATCGGCTCGTATTCTAACGAGAAATATATAATACGATTAGCAAAGTTGACCCTTATTTATTAGTGGGAATTTTTCTCACAATACAGTGCAGATACATTCATCGATGTGTTCCGGAACTGCTGCTTGAGATCTTGCTCAGGATATCTGGATCGGACAGAAGTTGGTTGTGCATGTCCATATCACCCTACGAGGTTCTGAGGGCGTGGCGCGAAGCTCTATTGGTTGATGACACCTTGGGACATGTCGGCTTCTCTATTTTCATGATGGAGACACCGATGGAAAAGGGCATGGTGGCCGAGATGAGAGGATCAGCTAGACGGACGGAGCCTTGGTGGCGATGGAGCCAGCCAGGTGTTAGATAAGTCTCAGGAGCACGAGTGATAAGTGGGGGCGGCAACACTGACGGATTTCATTTTTGATGGTACTCCTCGAGTGCCGAGTCGTGATTTTCAGGGTGAAAACCTAAGGTCTGATCTTCATTGGTTGTGTCTGATGATTTTCTTGCTAAAAGAATTGTTTTGAGAGCGCGGACTTTCTTCAGGGTGAAAACTTAAGATTTTGGATGTTCCCTTCTTGGAGACGTTGCTTTTGAAGACCTTTTATATTTTTGGGTGTTGTATTAGGTAGTAACATAGCGCATTTCATGAAATTTTTGCTTATGTGGCATATAGTTAATGAGGAGAGAGGTGTTCAGAGTAACATAATATGTTACTGTAACACAGCGCTTTTCGAGAAAGTATGAGTCTATAAGGTAATAAATAAAGTCATCTATGACACTACTATTATGTTACTTTGCACTATGAAGATAGTAACTTAGACTAGTGTCATATACATGGCACTAGTATAAATTACTCCCCACTATGACCAGCCTCAAGCCTCAGTGAAGATGCAGGTGAGAGGGGACAGGGAAGGCCGGCGCCATTGCTGATCCCGTTGAGAAGGAGGAGGAGGGCGAATCGCTCTTCCGTTAATTTTGGGTTGGGTTGGAAGTTCTTTGTTTTTTCCCATCTACTCACTGGTTACATGCAAACAGATGATACTCATCACAGTATAAACAACAGCGCGGCCATTATAAACTTTGACCTCGCAGTCTAAGTATTGCAGTACACATGTTCCTGTTCATTACTTTGAGCGTTTTTCCTCTGACTTCATATTTCGATGTTCATATTATACGTAGGAGTATGGGATTAGACATCATGTACTCATGCTCCTTCCTCTGACAGTATGTGTAGTAGCACACATGCTCCTTCCCAACACCTTCCAGTCCAACCTTAATTAAGGCAACGTAACTACTGCCTAACTTACCTTTCTCAGTCCTCAATGTGAAGACAAAACATGCATGGCATGCAGTTAAGCACTGATTTGACTTTGTTGCTTGACGAGGGTTTAGTCGAATTAAAGCTAACTAATTCTTGCCATACACGATGTTTTTTGGATATGCCCCATTTTACCTCCTACTTTCTGACCTTGTAACAGCTTCATTTGATTTTAAAAATCTTGTCACATTTTACTCTCTAAGGCACTGACCACTTTTACCTCTATTTTCTCTCTCAAACTCACAAGGTAGATGCACGCATCAGGGTGATGTGGCAGCTGGTTGGGTAGACAATTCAGCGCCGCACGCAGCTGCTCGGCATAATTTGATGATATTTCACTCAATTTGATGGAGTTTGGTTAATTTGGGGGAAGTTGCATGATACACTCATCGTCCTCAATGAATGCATGCATGAGCTGTCCCCTCGGGCAACTGTCGTGTCATCTCGAAAAGCTGGCCCAACTTGTCAGTTTACAAAAACTAACTGAAATATGTCACAATTCACAGCTGAAAGGGAAAATGTTGAAGTTTTTATTTAATAAAAATGGACATGACTCATGACGTCATGAGCAAGGGGGAGTGTACATTTTTCAATAAAATCAGATCGAAAACTCAGCATTATGTATATACTAAAAAATTTTGTAAGGCAGTCCTAAGCAATATATGAACCATTAAATATTCATGATCTAATGGCTGATTTAAAGATAATGGAACATTAATAAAGTTGTGAACATTAATACATTGACGTTGTGCAATGGAAGCAATTTCTATAATTTATTCATTTCCTTTTAAGCCTCGAGCGTAGAAGGGAAAAACACAAACGTAGCTAATTTGTTCTGAAATTCCTATAAAAATTCCAGTAAACCAAAGTAGACGTTAATGTTTTGGTAAAGTCAAACTTTTCCAATCGAAAATGTGGTTTTCTGCAAAATCAAATACATTAGTATAATTGGTAAAGTATCCATGTTTTTATTTTGTCAGTTGAGTGTTCTTGAGCAGAAATTTATAATGTTGTC